CAACAGTTCATAGACGATCAAAGAGAAAAGAAAACAGTGATAGAAAACTACAGCAATTTCTTTGAAAGCAGATTTTTCTGTGTTTTACTGGAGTAAATGCATTCTTTAATATAAAAGAAATGAAGTTAATTCTATGGAATTGTCATGTGTATGTGGCAGCTAACATCTGTTTGTGTAGCAGCATGCAATTCCATACTACAGACCCCGGATATCTGTCTGGAGCGCAGGCACCACATGCATGGTATAAGCGGCAGCTTGGTCCCTGTGTGGGTGTACACACAGCACATTGCATTCACTGTAGAATTGCAGACGGGGATTATAGAGAGAAATGAACCCATTCAGAGTAGCAGAGGACAGGGCAGGGCGAGCTCACGTGGTCTCTACTCCAAGCTTTGACAGCCACCTGGTGGAGTAAATTTACAGATCATCGGGGTGAAACCAATCCAGAGGAAGCAACAACTACAGCAATGGATGCTAAACACTGCAGCAGACTTTTGATTCAACATTTCAAGTGTCTCTGGTACCGGCTCCAGTGTGTTCCCAGTGATCCCCAGTGTCTCTGGTACCAACTAACTCCCAGTGTGTTCCCAGTGATCTCCAGTGTCTCTGGTACAGTTCCAGTGTGTTCCCAGTGATCCCCAATGTCTCTGGTACCGGCTCCAGTGTGTTCCCAGTGATCTCCAGTGACACTGGTACCAACTCCAGTTATGTTCCAGTGTGTTCCCAGTGTCTCTGTACCAACTCAAGTCCAGTGGCTCTGGTACGGCTCCAGTGTGTTCCAGTGATCTCCAGTGTCTGTGGTACGGCTCCAGTGTGGTTCCCAGTGATCTCCAGTGTCTGTGGTACTGGGCTCCAGTGTGTTCCCAGTGATCCCCAGTGTCTCTAGTACCAACTTCAGTATGTTCCCAGTGATCTCCAGTGCACTGGTACCGGCTCCAGTATGTTCCCAGTGATCTCCAGTGTCTCTTACCAACTCCAGCATGTTTCCCAGTGATCTCAGTTTCTGTGGTACTGGCTCCAGTGTGTTCCCAGTGATCCCCAGTGTCTCTGGTACCAACTCCAGTATGTTGTTATCTCCAGTGTCTCTGGTACCAACTCCAGTATGTTCCCAGTGATCTCCAGTGTCTCTGGTACCAACTTCAGTGTGTTCCCAGTGATCTCCAGTGTCTGTGGTACGGCACCAGTGTGTTCCAGTGATCTCCAGTGTCTGTGGTACTGGCTCCAGTGTGTTCCCAGTGATCCCCATTGTCTCTGGTACCAACTCCAGTATGTTCCCAGTGATCTCCAGTGTCTGTGGTACTGGTACCGTGGCTCCAGTATGTTCCCAGTGATCTCCAGTGTCTGACTCCAGTGTGTTCCCAGTGATCCCAGTGTCTGTGGTACCTGGCTCCAGTGTGTTCCCAGTGATCCCCAGTGTCTCTGGTACCAACTCCAGTATGTGTTCCAGTGATCTCCAGTGTCTCTGGTACCAACTCCAGTGTGTTCCCAGTGATCTCCAGTGTCTTCAGGTACCAACTGGTACCTCCAGTGTGTTCCCAGTGATCCCTCAGTGTCTCTCTGTACCGGCTCCTGTGTGTTCCCAGTGATCTCCAGTGTCTCTGGTACCGGCTCCTGTGTGTCCAGTTCTCCAGTGACTGGTCCCAACCGGCTCCATATGTTCCCAGTGATCTCCAGTGCCACTGGTACCAACTCCAGTATGTTCCCAGTGATCTCCAGTTTCTGTGGTACTGGCTCCAGTGTGTTCCCAGTGATCCCCAGTGTCTCTGGTACCAACTCAGTATGTTTCCCAGTGATCTCCAGTGTCTCTGGGTACCAACTCCAGTATGTTCCCAGTGATCAGTGTCTCTGGTCTCCAGTATGTTCCCAGTGATCCCCAGTGCTCCTGTGTGTTCCAGTGATCTCCAGTGTCTCTGGTACCGGCTCCTGTGTGTCCCAGTGATCTCCCAGTGTCTCTGGTACCGGCTCCAGTCTGTTCCCGGTGATCTCCAGTGTCTCTGGTACCGGCTCCAGTCTGTTCCTGGTGATCTCCAGTGTCTCTGGAACCCGCTCCAGTCTGTTCCCAGTGATCCCCAGTGTCTCTCTGGGGACAGTTACAGGGATGAGACAAACCATTTAACACTGACCGGGGCGCTTACAATGATCAGCTTTTTTTTATATAAAAACTTTCTCCAAAAGGGAAAAAAAAAAAAAAAGTGTGAGCCGGAGTTTGACTTTACAGCGGAGTTCCAGTCATTTTTTGTATTTATTAAAAGTCAGCAGCTACAGAAACTGAAGCTGCTGATTTTTAATAAAACGCACACTCCCCTGTCCCAGGGTAATCCGCGCGCATGGACGTATTAACCACAAGGCAAACAAGGCATTTGCCTAAGGCTGCATCTTTCAGGGGGGCAGCAGCATTTTTCAGGGGGGCAGTGTCACCCCCCCCCCCGAAAGAAGGGACACACACACACACTATGGGGACCAGGTTGGATCCAAGAGAGGCTGCGGGCTGCTTCATGGTGAATGCACAGGCTGACTCTTGTTCCCGGGATGTCTGGAGCTGTGAAGGTGAGTGTCTTCTCTCTTGCCGGGGTGGGTGGGGTTGTCAGTGTATGGGACGCAGTGGTAGTGGAAGGCACTCTCGGGTGGGGGCTGGGGGGGTCAATGTCAGGCTCTCTTTGTGGGGAAGGGGGGTGTTGGTCAATGTCAGGTTCTCTTCGTGGGGAAGGGGAAGTGTTGGTCAATGTCAGGTTCTCTTCGTGGGGAAGGGAAGTGATGGTCAATGTCAGGCTCTCTTCGTGGGGAAGGGAAGGGAGGTGATGGTCAATGTCAGGCTCTCTTCGTGGGGGAAGGGAGGTGATGGTCAATGTCAGGCTCTCTTCGTGGGGAAGGGGGGTGTTGGTCAATGTCAGGCTCTCTTCGTGGGGAAGGGAGGTGATGGTCAATGTCAGGCTCTCTTCGTGGGGAAGGGAGGTGATGGTCAATGTCAGGCTCTCTTCGTGGGGAAGGGAGGTGATGGTCAATGTCAGGCTCTCTTCGTGGGGAAGGGAGGTGATGGTCAATGTCAGGCTCTCTTCGTGGGGAAGGGAGGTGATGGTCAATGTCAGGCTCTCTTCGTGGGGAAGGGAGGTGATGGTCAATGTCAGGCTCTCTTCGTGGGGAAGGGGTGTTGGTCAATGTCAGGCTCTCTTCGTGGTCGGTCAATGTCAGGCTCTCTTCGTGGGGAAGGGAGGTGATGGTCAATGTCAGGCTCTCTTCGTGGGGAAGGGAGGTGATGGTCAATGTCAGGCTCTCTTCGTGGGGAAGGGAGGTGATGGTCAATGTCAGCTCTCTTCGTGGGGAAGGGAAGTGATGGTCAATGTCAGGCTCTCTTCGTGGGGAAGGGGGTGATGGTCAATGTCAGGCTCTCTTCGTGGGGAAGGGAGGTGTTGGTCAATGTCTGGCTCTCTTCGTGGGGAAGGGAGGTGATGGTCAATGTCAGGCTCTCTTCATGGGGAAGGGAAGGTGTTGGTCAATGTCAGGTCTCTCTTCGTGGGGGCTGGGGTGGTCAATGGAAAGGGGGGTGATGGTCAATGTCAGGCTCTCTTCGTGGGGAAGGGGGTCATGGTCAATGTCAGGCTCTCTTTATGGGGAAGGGAGGTGATGGTCAATGTCAGGCTCTCTTCGTGGGGAAGGGGGTGATGGTCAATGTCAGGCTCTCTTCGTGGGGAAGGGAGGTGATGGTCAATGTCAGGCTCTCTTCGTGGGGAAGGGGGGTGTTGGTCAATGTCAGCTCTCTTCGTGGGGAAGGGGGTGATGGTCAATGTCAGTCTCTCTTCGTGGGGAAGGGGGGTGTTGGTCAATGTCAGGCTCTCTTCGTGGGGGAAGGGGGGTGTTGGTCAATGTCAGGCTCTCTTCGTGGGGAAGGGGGGTGATGGTCAATGTCAGGCTTTCTCGTGGGGAAGGGGGGTGTCGGTCAATGTCAGTCTCTCTTCGTGGGGAAGAGGGGTGTGATGGTCAATGTCAGTCTCTCTTCGTGGGGAAGAGGGGGTGTCGGTCAATGTCAGGCTCTCTCGTGGGGAAGAGGGGTGTTGGTCAATGTCAGGGTCTCTCCATGGGGGGGGGAGGGAGTCAATTTTTGTGTTGCCTAGGGTAGCACGAAACCTAAATACACCACTGCATCAGCGCCGTCCTTCTATCCCCGGCATTTCAGCTGTGGGCACCCGGCTGTGACAGCTAGCGGCTTCACAGCTGGGTGCTGATAGGTTCCGGCAGTCTACTGAAGTGTCCCGCAAGACTGCGAGAGGAAGGAGGGGGGGTCACCTCAGCGTACTGAGCCAGAAGTGGGAACACGGGTACCTTTCAAAACCAGGCCCCCCCCCCCAAAAAAAAAGTGCCAAAAATATGGCGGTTGAGGGGGAGGAGAGAGGGGGCAAACAAGCAGAGCTTCCGCTTTTGAGTGGAAGTCCCCTCCAATTTGTTAGTGTATCTAAATCTGCTAGTAAATCTAACTCTCCTCCCCCCCCATCATCCCCAGACTGACAATGCTGCTGTCCAAAGGTGCCTCCTGTGCTCCTTCCTCCAGAGTGGGAGCGCTCTAATATTGGAGGTGTGTTACCGGTGAAAAAAAAAGCCTGAAAAAAAGAAAACGAATGCGGCCGCCACATCTAAGAACTGGTAAGCCGCAATACAGGACGTTTTTGGGGTTTACCGCCGTTATCGCTTTAGATTTACAATCTGGTCATTTATTTCATGGGAAACGGAACGACGTGCGCAGGGAATGGCGGTCATTTGGCTTCAAGTTCTGGGCATACTTTTCTGGGCAGGAGGACAATCACAGCAGCAAGAAATGTTCTCTCTGAGGACAAATACTACAAAGAAGGCCCTGAGGGTGTCCTGGTTTCTCAGGGAGTGAAAGAACTTGGGGGAGGGGGTAGGGAACCATGGCTGTCATACATAGGCCATTGTGATCAGTCAGGCCTCCTCATTGGTCTGCTACAGCCCCCTCTCGAATGGAAGTTACAATGAAGAGTTCTGCTTACCCGTCACCAGCTTCTCCTCATTGAACCCGGCGGCGCAGCTGGTGAGAAGCACACGGGGCACAGAAGCCATGGCTGCCCCCCACTGTTCTCTTCCGTATGGTTGAGAGAACTACTTCCGCATGGCAACCGCCCAACTTCCCCATGGCAACTGCTCTACTTCCGCCCGACCTCCTCATGGCCACCTCTGCACTTCCGCTCTACCTCCTCATAGCGAGGGCAGCATTTCCGCCCAATCGGGCTCCTCCTCTTCCGGCCGCCTTGAGAAGTTACAGCCCACGGAGCGTCCCGTCTCCATGGCAACGGGCGCAGCCGCTGGATGTCCCTCGCTATGGCCGCTTCTGATCCCGTGGGGCTTCTCCTGGTGCAGGTAGATCGCTGAGGGTGTCACTGAAGTAGAACTAAAAAGAGAAACTTTTCCATTTTGGATAGAGTAAGGGAGAGTTACAGCCTCTCTCAGTATTTGTTTTGCCATCCACTTTCATTAGATGCGATTTCAGGTGCGATTTCAATTCACAAATCGCACTTCAAGTAGAAATAAATATGAAACTTTTTTTTTCAGTTTGGATATAGTAAGGGAGGGTTCTAATTCCTGTCAGGTGTCCCCATAGAGGAGATTTCCCTTCACTTCCTGTTTCATCGCCACAACAGGTAGTGAGAGGAAATACCACCAAAGGGAGCTAGTGTCCCCATTGGAAGATTTCCCCTCTCTTCCTGTTGTGGGGACAACCCAAAATGTGGGATTTTCTTTCGTTTTTGGTGTCACCGGGGCCAATAGAAAAGGTGAATCTCTGTAACGGGGACACAGATAGCAATACAAATCTGACAGGGGGTCTCATTCCTCTCCACTCCGTCCAAAACTAAAGTAGAAATAAAAGCAAAACCTATTATTGTCATCTGTGTCCCCATCGGAGGAGATTTCCCTTCATTTCCTGCCCCATAGCCACAACAGGAAGTGAGAGGAAATCCCTCCAAAGGGAGCTAGTGTCCGCATTGGAAGATCTCCCCTCTTCCTGTTGTGGGGACAACCAAAAATTTGGGATTTTCTTTAATTTTGGGTGTCAGCGGGGCCAATAAACAAAGTGAATCTCTGTAACGAGGACACAGATAGCAATACAAACCTGACAGGGGGTCTCATTCCTCTCCACTCCATCCAAAACTAAAGTAAAAATAAAGACAAAACCTATTATTGTCATCTGTGTCCCCATCAGGGGAGATTTCCCTTCACTTCCTGTTCCATAGCCACAACAGGAAGTGAGAGGAAATCCTTCCAAAGAGAGCTAGTGTCCCCATTGGAAGATTTCCCCCTCTCTTCCTGTTGGGAGGGTTCTAATTCCTGTCAGATGTCCCCATGGAAATTTCTCTTCATTTCCTGCCCCATAGCCACAACAGGAAGTGAGAGGAAATCCCTCCAAAGGGAGCTAATGTCCGCATTGGAAGGTTTCCCCTCTTCCTGTTGTGGAGACAACCCAAAATTTGTGATTTTCTTTCATTTTCGGTGTCACTGGGGCCAATATAGAGGGTGGATCTCCCTGACGGGGGCACAGACAGCAACACAAACCTGACAGGGGGTCTAATCCCTCTCCACTCCATCCACAACTAAAGTAGACAAAAAGGCAAAGGTTTTTAATGTCATCTGTGTCCCCATTGGGGAGCTTTTCCTTTACTTCCTGTCCCACGGCCAAAACAGGAAGTGAGAGGAGATCCCTCCAAAGTGTCATCAGAACTAGTTTCCCCACTGGAAGATTTCCCCTGTCTTCCTGTTGTGGAGACAACCCAAAATTTGGGATTTTCTTTCATTTTTGGTGTCACCGGGGCCAATATAGAGGGTGGATCTCCCTGACGGGGGCACAGACAGCAATAAAAACCTGACAGGTGGTCTAATCCCTCTCCATTCCATCCAAAACTAAAGTAGAAATAAAGGCAAAACCTATTATTGTCATCTGTGTCCCATCAGGGGAGATTTCTCTTCACTTCCTGTTCCATAGCCACAACAGGAAAGGAGAGGAAATCCCTCCAAAGGGAGCTAGTATCCCCATTGGAAGATTTCCCCCTCTCTTCCTGTTGTGGGGACAACCCAAAATTTGGGATTTTATTTCATTTTTGGTGTCACCGGGGCCAATAGAAAAGGTGAATCTCTGTAACGGGGACACAGATAGCAATAAAAACCTGACAGGGGGTCTAATCCCTCTCCACTCCATCCAAAGCTAAAGTACAAATAAAAGCAAAACCTATTATTGTCATCTGTGTCCCCATTGGGGGAGATTTCCATTCACTTCCTGTTCCATAACCACATCAGGAAGTGAGAGGAAATCCCTCCAAAGAGAGCTAGTGTTCCCATTGGAAGATTTCCCCTCTCTTCCTGTTGGGAGGCTTCTAATTCCTGTCAGGTGTCCCCATTCAGATTTCTCTTCATTTCCTTCCCCATAGCCACAACACGAAGTGAAGGAAATCCCTCCAAAGGGAGCTAGTGTCCCCATTGGAAGATTTCCCCTCTCTTCCTGTTGGGAGGGTTCTAATTCCTGTCAGGTGTCCCCATGGAGATTTCTCTTCATTTCCTGCCCCATAGCCACAACAGGAAGTGAGAGGAAATCCCTCCATCCAAAGTGAGCTGTCATCAGAACTAGTGTTCCTATTGGGAGATTTCCCCTCTATTTCTGTTCTGGTGACAACACAAAATTTGGGGGTTTCTTTCGCTTTCGGTGTCACCAGAACAATTAAAGAGGGGGAATCTCCCTAATGGAGACACAGGCAGCAATCAAAACCTGACAGGGGGTCTACTCCATCTCCACTCCATCCAAAATGGAACAAAAAAGTTTTCCCTTTCACACTGGAAACCGCATGTGAATTGCACAGGAATACTGTGCAGTTCCGGCACGATTCACATGCAGTCCTGTGCAGTGCAATTTCAGCCCCTTCATTTTGACGTGCACTGCATTTGGGGTGTCATTAACTTTGTATGGACGCCCACTGGAGATTGCAAAGCCAGTGCGATTGGAATGCAGTGCTGGAAACTGCACAGGAACGCTGGTTTCCCGCACTGTGTTCCAGTGTAAAAGGGCCCCTAGGCTTGGCATGTTTGGTATCTAGTTACTCAGCACAACCTCAACGTTTATATTTAAAAAAAAAAAAAAATGGCACAGACACGACAGCTAGGGGCGGGACAATGCTGGTGATGTCATTGATTGCCCTTATATGGGTACATGCCTATGTAGTCATGACCCAAAATCTTGCCCCCCCCCCCCCCCCCCCCGCATTGCTGTCAAAACACGCACCTTTTCACCCAGAAAATTGTTGCAATTACAAATGTTTCGGCATTCTCATGTTTATTTCTTTTGTTTGTATTGATATGACACAAAAAAGGGGAGAAACAAAAAGCCAAATCTGACACATTCCACACAAAACCCCAAAATGGACTGGACAAAATTATTGGCACCCTCCATGTAATATTTTGTGGCACACCCCTTGGAAACAATACCTGAAATCAATGGCTTCCTGTGACCATCAATGAGTTTCTTCCACCTCTCTCCTGGAATTTTGGATCGCTCTTCTTCCTCCAACTGCTCCAGGTCTCTCAGATTGGAAGGTTCCTTTCCCCAACTGATGTTCTGAGATCTCTCCACAGGAGCTCTATGGGATGGAGATCTGGGCTCATTGCTGGCCAGTTCAGTCCTTTCCAGCGCTTCGTCTGAAACCATTTCTGGGGGTTTTGTGACGTGTGCTTTGGGTCATTGTCCTGCTGGAAGACCCATGACCTCTGATGGAGACCCAACTTTCTGACACTGGGCTCTACATTGCACCCCGGAATTCTTTGGTAGTCTCGGCTTCCAGCTGGGAGCCAATGGGGTGGACTCCCGATCATGTGACCACTGCGACAGCTGTCAGATGGTCAGCAAGCTGCTTCTTCTCCTGCCACTAAAGCTCACTTGAAGTGCCACCAGGAGGTGGTGTGAAGGAGTTTATGAATTCTTCCTGTATACATATTATGGGTTTTTTTCTGTGACTTTTGTTCAGATATACTTTATACTGTACCTATTTTTATGTGATATGGAAGTTAATCGTATTTATTTTTTAAAGATGCATAAATCGCATTCAAGTAACACACTGCGTTCCTCCACAGGTACAGAATGATCTTGAACATTTAAAGAAGAAACTAGTGAACTCCAACCAGCAGAATGGGGCCATGGTGGATATCCAGACCCTGGAGACGGCAATACAGAGGACAGAGCATGGAATAAAGGTGACAGAGGAATCTCTGCTTTCTGTATATAACATCAAGTGTACAAACTGACTGCCCATAATACTAAACATGGCCAATACTGCATGTACTGTAGGTCTCATTTCACAGATGGAAGCCTGCAGGACAGATATGCATGAAAATGGCAGGCAGTGTGAACAATTTCCTTCATTTGCGGAGCATAAAATTCTAGGCGTTTGCCATCGGGTATGGCTTGCCATACACACACCATTGCTTCTAGGCATGAATATTATACTGTATGTGCAGCTCAAGGTACGTTGGTGTGAGCAGTAGGTTGTAGAAAGTTGTTAAAGTGATAATAAACTCACTTTTTACAAAGTTGCTGACGGGTAGAGTTTTTATGACAGAAGAAACCCTATTGGTATGTGGAGACATGCCCTCTACCTCTGAAAGTGAGTAGAAGAAGAACCCTTTATATTGGTGGCCAGTAGAAGAAGAACCCTTTATATTGGTGGTCAGTAGAAGAAGAACCCTTTATATTGGTGGCCAGTAGAAGAAGAACCCTTTATATTGGTGGTCAGTAGAAGAAGAACCCTTTATATTGGTAGTCAGTAGAAGAAGAACCCTTTATATTGGTGGTCAGTAGAAAAAGAACCATTTACACTGGTGGTCAGTAGAAGAAGAACCTTTATATTGGTGGTCAGTAGAAAAAGAACCATTTACACTGGTGGTCAGTAGAAGAGGAACCCTTTATATTGGTGGTCAGTAGAAGAAGCGCCCTTTATATTGGTGGTCAGTAGAAGAAGAACCCTTTTACATTGGTAGTCAGTAGAAGAAGAACCCTTTTACATTGGTAGTCAGTAGAAGAAGAACCCTTTTACATTGGTAGTCAGTAGAAGAAGAACCCTTTACATTGGTGGTCAGTAGAAGAAGAACCCTTTATATTGGTGGTCAGTAGAAGAGGAACCCTTTACACTGGTGGTCAGTAGAAGAGGAACCCTTTACATTGGTGGTCAGTAGAAGAAGAACCCTTTATATTGGTGGTCAGTAGAAGAAGAACCCTTTACATTGGTGGTCAGTAGAAGAAGAACCCTTTATATTGGTGGTCAGTAGAAGAGGAACCCTTTACACTGGTGGTCAGTAGAAGAGGAACCCTTTACATTGGTGGTCAGTAGAAGAAGAACCCTTTATATTGGTGGTCAGTAGAAGAAGAACCCTTTATATGTGTGGTCAGTGGAAGAAGAATTCTTTATATACAGGTGAAACTCGAAAAATTAGAATATTGTGCAAAAGTGTAAAGAGTTATTCTTCTACTGACCAACAATATAAAGAGTCCTTCTTCTGACCACCAATGTAAAGGATTCCTCTTCCACTGACCACATACAGGTGAAACTCGAAAAATTAGAATATTGTGCAAAAGTTCATTTATTTCAGTGCAGCAACTTAAAAGGTGAAACTAATATATGAGACTCATTACATGCAAAGCAAGATAGTTCAAGCCGTGATTTGTCATCATTGTGATGATTATGGCTTACAGCTCATGAAAACCCCAAATCCACAATCTCAGAAAATGAGAATATTCCATGCAATCAATAAAACACGGATTGTACACAGAACAATATCGGACCTCTGAAAAGTAGAAGCTGCATATGTACTCAGTACTTGGTTTGGGCCCCTTTTGCAGCAATTACTGCCTCAATGCGGCGTGGCATGGAAGCTATCAGCCTGTGGCACTGCTGAGGTGTTATGGAAGACCAGGATGCTTCAATAGCGGGGCCTTCAGCTCTTCTGCATTGTTCAGTCTCATGTCTCTCATCTTTCTCTTGGCAATGCCCCATAGATTCTCTATGGGATTCAGGTCAGGCGAGTTTGCTGGCCAATCAAGCACAGTAATCCCACGGTCATTGAACCAGGTTTTGGTGCTTTTGGCAGTGTGGGAGGTGCCAAGTCCTGCTGGAAAATGAAGTCAGCATCCCCATAAAGCTCGTCTGCAGAAGGAAGCATGAAGTGCTCCAAAATCTCCTGGTAGACGGCTGCGTTGACCCTGGAATTAATGAAGCACAGAGGACCAACACCAGCAGATGACATGGCTCCCCAAATCAACACAGACGGTGGAAACTTCACACTGGACTTCAAGCATCTTGCTAACCCTTCTTTTACTCTTATATCAGTTTATGAAGACAGAGCAATTCTTTCATATGGGGTACCATTAAACCTCAGGTCCCTGGAACCTGAAGGATGTATATTACTCCCAAACATTTTGTATGTTTATCAAGCCACCCAGCTTTAATCCCTGATTACCCTTCATCAAACGAATCCCCTTCCCGCATGGATTTTTATGGAAGTCTCAAATATACATCCTATCACCCTGCAAGTACTGCCCTGGCTACCACTTCGTTATAGACCTAGGGACTGTAGCCCATTAATAAAACCTGGGATGTCTGCCCTTTTATCTCTCATTTACGCCTGTTTACCACTCCTCTAAAAACCTCTTTTCCTGGGATCTTCTGACCCTAGACTGCCTGGTGAAAAACCCAGGGCTGTCATAAGATCTACAACAGTCCACTGTAATTTCCTGGTCCTCTGTTGAAGAACATAAGAAGGCTCCAGCAAAGGAATTATTTCGGTATAGACAAGTACAAAAACTGGCTCTCTGCCCATCTTATGTATAGGGATGAAACAAGCCCTTTAGAGCAAGCCTGTCTATATATCCCTGGGGGATACAAGCTAAATACACTTTTATACACACAACTGAATAAACTTCCGAGTCATGGCCGACACTTATATGTAGGTAGATGGGAAAAGTGACCTAAGGCAGCCTAGGTCTGAGGAATGGCTCTGGATCTGGAATAATCGGACCTCCTGCTTCCTTGATGCTACTAATATACAGTGGGGCAAAAAAGTATTTAGTCAGCCAACAATTGTACAAGTTCTCCCACTTAAAAAGATGAGAGAGGACTGTAATTGGCATCATAGGTAGACCTCAACTATGAGAGACAAAATGAGAAAACAAATCCAGACAATCACATTGACTGATTTGGAAAGAATTTATTTGCAAATTATGGTGGAAAATAAGTATTTGGTCAATATGAAAAGTTCATCTCAATACTTTGTTATATATCCTTTGTTGGCAATGACAGAGGTCAGACGTTTCCTGGAAGTCTTCACAAGGTTGGCACACACTGTTGCTGGTATGTTGGCCCATCCTCCATGCAGATCTCCTCTAGAGCAGTGATGTTTTGGGGCTGTCGCTGGGCAACACAGACTTTCAACTCCCTCCAAAGGTTTTCTATGGGGTTGAGATCTGGAGACTGGCTAGGCCACTCCAGGACCTTGAAATGCTTCTTACGAAGCCACTCCTTCATTTCCCGGGTGGTATGTTTGGGATCATTGTCATCTGGGAAGACCCAGCCACGTTTCATCTTCAATGCCCTTGCTGATGGAAGGAGGTTTGCACTCAAAATCTCACGATATGTGGCCCCATTCATTTTGTCCTGTACATGGATCAGTTGTCCTGGTCCCTTTGCGAAGAAACAGCCCCAAAGCATGATGTTCCCACCCCCATGCTTCACAGTAGGTATGGTGTTCTTTGGATGCAACTAAGCATTCTCTCTCCTCCAAACACGACGAGTTGTGTTTCTACCAAACAGTTCTATTTTGGTTTCATCTGACCATACGACATTCTCCCAATCCTCTTCTGGATCATCCAAATGCTCTAGCAAACTTCAGACGGGCCCCGGACATGTACTGGCTTAAGCAGGGGGACACATCTGGCACTGCAGGATCTGAGTCCCTGGCGGCGTAGTGTGTTACTGATGGTAGCCTTTGTTACGTTGGCCCCAGCTCTCTGCAGGTCATTCAGTAGGTCCCCCCATGTGGTCCTGGGATTTTTGCTCTCCGTTCTTGTGATCATTTTGACCCCACGGGGTGAGATCTTGCGTGGAGCCCCAGATGGAGGGAGATTATCAGTGGTCTTGTATGTCTTCCATTTTCTAATTATTGCTCCCACAGTTGATTTGTTCACACCAAGCTGCTTGCCTATTGCAGATTCAGTCTTCCCAGCCTGGTGCAGTTCTACAATTTTGTTTCCGGTGTCCTTCGACAGTTCTTTGGTCTTCACCATAGTGGAGTTTGGAGTGTGACTGTTTGAGGTTGTGGACAGGTGACTTTTATACTGATAACAAGTTTAAACAGGTGCCATTGATACAGGTAATGAGTGCAGGACAGAGGAGCCTCTTAAAGAAGAAGGTACAGGTCTGTGAGAGCCAGAAATCTTGCTTGTTTGTAGGTGACCAAATACTTATTTTCCACCATAATTTGCAAATAAATTCTTTCCAGATCAGCCAATGTGATTGTCTGGATTTGTTTTCTCATTTTGTCTCTCATAGTTGAGGTCTCCCTATGATGCCAATTACAGGCCTCTCTCATCTTTGTAAGTGGGAGAACTTGTACAATTGGTGGTGACTAAATACTTTTTTGCCCCACTGTAGAAGTAGCCTATAATGTAATAATGCACCGGCAATTGGTCCCCCGTTGACTTTCTTACCTGAAGTCTTTTACTTTTCCGCAAGCATTTGCAAAGTTGTGCCGCTTTAGAGGACATGTTATATATTTGGTGGACATGTCCATTTGCTACCACATTCTGGACCAACCTTTCTCAACCAGGGTGCCGTGGAACCCTCATTCAGAGATTACCAGGTGTTCCTTGAAAATGGGCAATTCATACCTCTCAGATAGGTACCGTATATACTCGAGTATAAGCCGACCCGAATATAAGCCGAGGTACCTAATTTTACCACAAAAAACTGGGAAAAACTATTGACTCGAGTATAAGCCGAGGGTGGGAAATGAGGCACCTACTAGTCAATGTAAAAAATAAAGTGGGAGGAATAGTGCCCCATCATTAGTATCAGTGGGAGGAATAGTGCCCCATCATTAGTATCAGTGGGAGGAATAGTGCCCCATCATTGGTATCAGTGGGAGGAATAGTGCCCCATCATTGGTGTCAGTGGGAGGAATAGTGCCCCATCATTGGTATCAGTGGGAGGAATAGTGCCCCATCATTGGTGTCAGTGGGAGGAAAAGTGCCCCATCATTGGTGTCAGTGGGAGGAATAGTGCCCCATCATTGGTGTCAGTGGGAGGAATAGTGCCCCATCATTGGTGTCAGTGGGAGGAATTGTGCCCCATCATTGGTGTCAGTGGGAGGAATAGTGCCCCATCACTGGTATCACTGGGAGGAATAGTGCCCCATTGTTGGTGTCAGTGGGAGGAATAGTGCCCCAACCTTTGTTGTCAGTGGGAGGAATAATGCCCCATCATTAGTATCAGTGACACCAATGATGCGGCACTATTCCTCCCACTGACACCAATGACACTTGCTGACCCCTGTTGCAGTATGGTGCTGCTGCAGCCAGCATATGTGGTTGCAGCAGCACCTCTGCACTGCACACTTACCGGCTTTTCCCTCACTCGATTTTCGCGGGTCCGCTCGGCTCCGCCTCCTCGCCCGTGATTGGCCGCCTGTGTACCTTTCCTGAGCTACAGTTCTGGTGGCCAATCACCGGTGAGGAGGCGGAGCCGAGCGGCAGGAGTGAGAGAGTGGCCGGAGTGACGGAAGGAGCAGCGCTTCCTGGATGGATCATCGTGGGAGCCAGGTAAGAGACAGCAGACGTTGACTCGAGTATAAGCCGAGGGGGCCGTTTTTCAGCACAAAAAATGTGCTGAAAAACTCGTCTTATACTCGAGTATATACGATAACCACTGACACCAATGATGTCTTTAGCTATCTGTATGAGGAATTATTCCCAATGACCACAAATTTAAGCAGCATTCTTCCCAGTGATCATCATGCAAAAGGTTCAACAGAAACAAGACACAAGTGCCAGGTCGAGGTCCTCAGGATCGTCCTACCAGGTGATGAGCAAGCTGGGGTCCAGTAACAGCTAAAGCAGGTAGGGATCAAGCAGAAGCGGAAACAGGAAACAAGCCAAAGGTCGGTAACAAGTAGTTGCAGGTTGGGATCAAGTGGAAGCTTAGTTGAGCAATAAGAGAAAAGGTTGGTAACAAGTGGCAGCGAAGATACAGCTGGCAGCAGCAGTGACAAGAGCGAGATATTGACTAGAGAGAGCTCAATAATCTGACAAACAGGAAGTGCAGGGACATGGCTTATATCAGTAAGTTCATGGAAGGAGCAAGAGATTCAAGGTTCAAGAGAAACAAGACACAAGGCAAGATTGTCTAAGGCTTCATGTACGGGCCTACTCTGACCGCCGGCCACTGGGAGTCGGATGTAAGAGGTGAAGGGGGCGGTAGTGCATTTCGGAGCATGCTCAATACATTTTGGCCAAGATTTATGAAGAAAGATTATTTATTTGCAAAATGTTATCAGAAAAACACTTTTTTTCTAAATTTTTTGACTTTTTCATTTATATAGCAAAAAAAAATAAAAATCCCAGTGGTGAATAAATACCACCAAAATAAAGTTTTTTCTGTCTCAAAAAAATGCTAAAAAAAATTCATATGGGTACAGTGTTGCATGACTGCGCAATTGTCATTCAAAGTGTGATAGCGCTGAAAGCTGAAAAATTGGCCTGGACAGGGCCTGGACAGTGTCAGGACTGGAAGGGGGTGAAAGTGTCCGGACTGGAAGGGGGGGAAAGTGTCAGGACTGGAAGGGGGTGAAAGTGTCCGGACTGGAAGGGGGGGAAAGTGTCCGGACTGGAAGGGGGGGAAAGTGTCCGGACTGGAAGGGGGGGAAAGTGTCCGGACTGGAAGGGGGTGAAAGTGTCCGGACTGGAAGGGGGGGAAAGTGTCCGGACTGGAAGGGGGGAAAGTGTCCGGACTTGAAGTGGTTAAAAGAGTAGTGTGGGTTTAGCAAAAAAAAGGTAAACCTTTTATACTCCTCTAGATGGCTGCAGCATTGACCTGAAGCTGCAGCTGTCCTCTACCGCTTCTACACTGAGACCTGAGCGATCGAAGACTGCTGATCGCTCAGTTCTTGGGTCTGCCCTGAGCACAGAGCAGTGACTGTCAGTCACCAGCTATTTGCTCTGCTCCTCCAGAGCTCACTGAAGCGCCAGGCTGTGGAAGGGGCAGGAGCGGCTGGCTCAGGATCACTGAGAGGCTGAGCCAGCTGCTGGTCAGGCATCTGAGCGGATCCTGACACTATTGTTGGGATCCCTGCAGAGCCTGAACCAGCTGTGTGAGGTTAGCCGACAGCAGACCTTGGCCCGCTGTTGGCTCTGTGCTCTGCCCCGCCAGCACTCACTGAAGAAGCCAGGCTGTACAGGGGGCGGGAGCGGCTGGCTCAGTCTCAGAAGCATGCTGTGAGGCTGAGCCAGCTGACAGTCAGGGTGGATCCTGATAATATTGTCAGGATACCTGCAGAGCCTCTGTGATGTCCTCTAACAGTAAATGTTAGCCCACTGTTTGTTGAATCTGGGTTACAAGAGTGCAGAACTAAGTGTACTGTTGTGATCCGCAGGAGAAATAAGGCCAAAAGAGCTTTGTCCATACTTCTCCTTTTAGATTACAATTTATGTTTTTACTGAGCACAGGAAGCATAGCTGTCGCTATACTTCCAGCACTCTGACACTGGACATTCTAGTCTTAGCTTCTGCTGCTGCAAAGTCCTGTGCAGCTATTCTGCTCAACCCTGCGTTCCTTCTGCCCAATCACAGAGCACTTTGTATTACATGAGCCCAGTGGCGTCCCTAGGCAGGTGCAGGGGGTGCGCGCGCGCACCGGGTGACACCTACCTCATTTGGTGACACCGGACCCGCTCCACAAAAAGGTAAGTTGTAAAGCAAGCCGACAATCCCTGCAGGATGGATCGGATCTCCAGATTGGGGAGGATAATAGATCGGACCCCGATCCATTCTGCTCAATCCGCAGATCCGATCCATCCTGCGGGGATCGTCGGCATGCAACCTATACAGGGGGACACCGGACCCGCTCCATGAAAAGGTAAGTTGTAATGCAAGCCGATGATCCCCGCAGGATGGATGGGATCTGTGGATTGGGGAACATAATGGATTGGACTCCGATCCATTATGCTCAATCCGCAGATCCGATCCAACCTGCGGGGATCGTCGGCATGCAACCTATACGGGGTGACACCGGACCCGCTCCACAAAATGGTAAGTTGTAAAGCAAGCCGACGATCCCCGCGGGATGGATCGGATCTGCGGATTGAGCATAATGGATCGGAGTCCGATCCATTATGCTCAATCCGCAGATCCGATCCATTCTGCGGGGATCGTCGGAGGGGGTGTCACCAAGTGTTATCGTACACCTACCGCATTGAGTGACAACTGACCCGCTCCACGAAAAGGTAAGTTGTAAAGCAAGCCGACGATCTCCACAGGATGGATCGGATCTGTGGATTGGGGAGCATAATGGATCGGAGTCCGATCCATTATGCTCAATCCGCAGATCCGAACCATCCTGCGGGGATCCTCGGAGGGGGTGTCACCAAGTGTTATCGTACCGGGTGACACCAACCCTAGGGACCCCCCTGTGTGAAGCCATTCACAAAACACAAAGCCTTCTGTGAATGTACAGTGAGGAGGAGGGGTGGGCAGAGGTGCTGGTGTGTGAGAAAGCAGTAGGGGAGATTTACTAAAACTGATTCGATTTGAATTTGGAAATGAATATAAAACGGAATTGTCAGATGTGAAAAATTCAGCAGCCGCATTCAAATCGAAAAGAAACGTGATTTCGAATGCCGAATTCGAATTTTCCAAATTGAATTCAGTTCGGTCGAAACTGAATTTAATTCGACTGAATTTGGAAAACTTTAATCGAATTCAAAAACGAACAAAGGAAACTAATCTGATTTAGCTAAACAAAATGAGTTAATTATTGAAACGAAGCAAAGCAGATTTTTTTTGTTCTGCACACGTCTATGTCTGACTGTTTTGCTTTAACTTCTAAAAAGATAAGATAAAATAAAGAATTTCTGTGTTTTTATAAAAATGTAATATAAATGTTATTGGCTTGGCAGATGCATACCCAGGATTATTTGTCTCATATCAGCTGCAACCCAATGACAATCCTCCATGATCAGAGCAAGGACAAGTATACTCCACGTGCGCTGAAATGGTAAGTTATCCCATACAGTATAGAGGGGTGTAGACGTCAGATCTCTGGGCTCCGGATATTCATTACTACCTATCAACATAACATAGTCACAGGAGTCAAACTGACGCAGGGGTGTGGACATTGTTTAAAAAACTACTTGTCCAGGGACTAATGCAGGCCATAGACGGGTCGAAAATCGGCCAATTTTTTTACCATTGGTGGTAACGTCGGCCTATTGAACGACTGATTTTTCTTCTTTTTTTTTAAACGGACGGTTTTTGACCCATCTATGGCCTGCATAAATCAGGGCCCCAATCTACTTGTGCTGATAAAAAAAAAAAATTATTTTTAACCAAAACGGTATTTAAATCGGAGGTGATTTTAGGAATGTCAGGGGGGGGCTTTTAAAAGCAAAAGAGGCTTTATGGCAACTTAACCTCCCTAGCGGTCTGATTATATCCATATTTCTGTGCTGAAAGCGGTACATTTTTTTGCATGGAAATATGTCGTTTTTTTTTATTGCAGGCCTGTAATTTTTAGGAATAACTGAAATCTGTCTGAACAAGAGTCTAGTAAACATCCCGGGGAGGATAAAATTTGAAACACGAAATCATAATTTAAAATATAATAAATAATCATAAAATATAATAATATAACAATAATATGTTTAATTCAATAATGTAATCAAACCAAAAACATTGAAACTTGAAACACAAAAATCATAAATTATAATTTAATAAATAATCATAAAAAATAATAATATAATAATATACATTTAATTCAATAATATAATCAAACCAAAAACACTGAAATTTGAAACACGAAATCATAAATTATAATTTAATAAATAATCATAAAAAATAATAATACATTTAATTCAATAATGTAATCAAACCAAAAACATTAAAACTTAAATCACGAAATCATAAATTATAATTTAATAAATAATCATAAAAAATTATAATATAATAATACATTTAATTCAATAATATAATCAAACCAAAAACACTGAAATGTGAAATAGAGCGCCAAGTTCGCACATCGCTGAGCAAAGTCGCAGAATCGTTTTCAGTGTCTGATGAGGAATTTCCCCCACCAATCATTATCACTCAATTCTGCAAGTGGTTCTAATTTACTATCGCTGTTCTCTAGCCGGTCTAAAACCGCTTTTGACCTAAAGGGACGCTTTTTGGACGCCATGGACGTTTCTCAGTTTCCAGGCAGAAAGAACAGTAAAAATGCAGGCAGGGTGCCGGACAAAGCACTCGGGACAAAATGTATGTGAAATGCTTTGATACAGGAATGTTATACTATGTGATTTTAGTGGATTTTGTGACTGTCAGTTTTTAAAATTTTCAAATTTCCCGCCGATTCCGGCTCCTGTACATCCCGACGCTCACAGGGAACGGAACCCGGGAAGACAGATGCCGGCATCGGCCGGAGGACATTGCCGGGGACACTGCAGGGGGGACATCGCGGGAGCGCAGGACAAGGTAAGTGAAGAAGGGATCCCGGAGCAGCGCTGCAGTGTATTCCCGAGTGTAGCTCAGGGTTACCGCTTGTGGTGCTTAAACTTTACCCCGAGCAACACTCGGAAATACCGCCAGGGGGGTTAAACGTGTAATATTTCTAACATTGCGCTGTTTCTCTCCTCCTCCCCTCCCCCGCCTGTCTCCAATCGGTGCTCATTACACTGCAAGGTCTCTCCCCTCCCTGCCTGCTAGTCCCCGGGTGCGGTGCTGGAGACAGGCGGGGGAGAGACCTTGCAGTGTAATGAGCACAGATTGGCTGCTCATCAGGAAAGGGGAGTGTCGGGCTTATCCTTTATCCCTTTCGCTACCAGAGCGTTTTTTGCACAGAGCGTTTTTTGCGCATGTTTAAAAAATAATTTTAGGCCTGAAGATTACACAAAACCCCCAAACATGATATATTTTCTAAAAGCAGAGACCCCAGAGAATAAAACAGTGGTAGTTCCAATTTTTTATGTCTCATGATTTTACTGCAAAATTTTTAGTAAGCAATACAAGTAAGTTAATTTTAGGGCACAAAAAAAGCAATAAATTACCCCAATTTTTTTGTAGAATATAAAAGATGAGGTTGCAGCGAGTAAATAGATATCCAACTTCTCAGACCTTAAATTGGTGCGCGCTCGTGAAATGGCGACAAACTTCACTACCCTATATTTTCTTTAGGTCGACACTTTTAAAGGTTCTGATAGGTCACCCGTATAGTGTACGGAGGAGTTCTGGTGCTAGAATTATCGCTCTCATCCTGGCGAACGCGGCGATATGTGACATGTGTATCTCAATCGACGGTTTCATGCGTCGGCGCCCAGCGTGTGCTTTTACATTTGTACGTGCATATATTTGGGGGTGGGGGCCTCAATATTTTTGGGGGGGAAGATGGTATGTGCTTGGGTGTAACTCATTTTATACAATTAAAAAAAAAACTTTTTTCACATTTCTTTTTTGTTTTCATTTTTTTTTTCCACTTTTATTTTTTTTTCATCACATAGGGGACTTTGTCCCCTATGTGATGATTTTTGGTGACAGGTTCTCTTTGAGACATCCAAGGTCTAAAAGACCCTGCATGTCTCCCCTCTGCTCCACTGAATGTAATGCGGCGCACATGGCACCATATTACATTCATTTCCGGGGACTGTAGTACAATCTCTCAACGGGGACCTGGAAGTGACATTGTAACGTCACTTTCGGGTCAGCACAAGAAAGAGAAGGGAGCAGACTTGTCCGCTCTTCTCCCTCCCCTCTAGCCGACGGCGAGACGGGCTCGCAGATGGGGAAGGCGGAGCCCAGCAAACCTCAGACTCGGGAAACTTCACGAGAGAGGCTGGCACTGTGTGAAAGCAATTGGCAGCAGAGCTGTCGTCAATTGCTTCACCTAACAGGTGAGCCCGCTGCTTGCCCGCAGCAGGGCTAAAGGAAGAGAAAAACTACCTGCCCTGTGCCCAGAACTACATGTCCCAGGCGTCGGGCGATAGGAATCAAACATCCCTGTGACGGCCCTCCAGCTGTTGCCAAACTACAAGTCCCATGAGGCATTGCAAGATTGACAATTACAAGCATGACTCCCAAAGGCAGAGGCATGATGGGGCTTGTAGTTTCGCAACAGCTGGAGGGCCACCAGTTTGACACCTCGTCTTAGCTGATCAGTCTGGCCATATTGGCTCTGCCCATAGACATAAGATAGTCAACCAGATTAACCAATTGTGATCTCATGTCTGTGTATATATACAGTACGTTGGTCATTGTATTAAATGGTTAGCAGTTCCGTCTGGCAGTACTCGGGTCGTTGGTTCGAATCCCAACCATGGCACCACCTGCCTGGAGTCTGCATGTTCTACCTGTGTCTGTGTGGGTTTCCTTTGGGTACTCCGGTTTCCTCCCACTCTTCAAAAGACATGCTGGTAGGTGAACTGGCTCCTCTCTAAATTGTCCCTAGTATGTGTATGTATGAATGTGAGTTAGGGACCTTAGATTGTACGCCCCTTGAGGGTTAAGGACTGATGTGAATGTACAAATATATACAGTATCTACCAGAAGTGAGTCCACCCCTCACATTTGTGTCAATATTTGATTCTCTCTTTTCATGTGACAACACTGAAGAAATGACACTTTGCTACAATGTGACGTAGTCAGTGTACAGCTTGTATAATATGTAGATTTGCTGTCCCTCAAAATAACTCAACACACCGCCATTCATGTCTAACCCGCTGGCAACAAAAGTGAGTCCCCCCCTAAGTGACAAGGTCCAAATTGGGTCCAAAGTGTCAATATTTTGTGTGGCCGCCATTATTTTCCAGCACAAAATGTGAGATACTGTATGTAAAGCGCTGTGTAAATTGACGGCGCTATATAAGTATCTGAAATGAATAAAATAAAAATGTAGCCAGCAATAGACTGTAAGCCTTGAACATATATATCAAATCCAAGTTAAAGTGGAAGTTTACCCATAACAACTTGCTAAAAAATTGTGTTCTTTAACAAGGAGCATACATTCCACATGAATAATTCTGCCACCAAAATGACAGTGTATCACGTACCTGGTGATGGAGGCCAATGGAGAGAGGGCTTCCCTTGCGGCTAAGTTCTGGACTCCCCTGAGAGTGGTGCAGCGGGAGTCAGGCCCAAAGTTGCACAGGTCGCCTGTAGGAGTGTTGGTTGGTGGTCCACTTAGAAGCACAGCTGGTGCACGGAGATAGGTCTGCAGACAGGAGGCGCCTGTGCGTGGTATGTAAGCCGTTCTGAGATTTTGATGTTTACTGGGTAGTTGGTTCAAGCCAAGGTTAGGTACCAGGTGGGAATCCGAGCAAACATAGTCAGATGGGATAGCCGAGGTCATACACAGAGGAGCGAGAGAGAGAGAGAGAGAGAGAGAGAGAGAGAGTATCCGTAAGCCAAGCCGAGGTCTCAGATCAGGGGTAAATCAGAGTAGACAGGTCCAGGAGCAAGCTGAGTCAGTAACAGGAAATCACAAGTCACAATCACAGGAAACAGGAACAGGGCACGGGGAGCTAGAGATCATCCAGCAACTTGAGAAAGTGATGAGCATCCTTATAAAGGGCGTCTGGCTCCAAAATGAGGCTGATGTGTGCTTCTGCGGCCATGCAGAGTACTGGCAGAAATGCCAGATCTTCCAGAACGTCTGCCATGGACAGGACCCTGACACAGTGTGCTGTAAATTGCCTCCAGCATTGTTCCTGTTTCTTTTTGCTGGAGGCGACCATTTTACTGAAATTCAGAGCCCCTGAGCAGCAGTAAATCTTTAGGCAGATTGGTCTCTAGCGGCTCTGATTTTAGGCACAGTGCTGAAAAATAGAGAGCAACTGAGCATGTGCAGAGCAGGGTGTGTGACAGTGCAATACTGGATTTGAAACAGTATAGGGCTCTTATTTTTAACGTTTTACATAGCTATACCTTCCCTCCCCACATTCAGGCCCTCCCTCAAAACCCATCTCTTCAGGGAAGCCTACCCCACCCTCACCTAACGGCCATCCTCCCTCATTCCTCCCACCACTTCATCCCCCTCAGCCACTTCATCCCCCTCAGCCACTTCACCCCCCTCAGCCACTTCACCCCCCTCAGCACTTCATTCCCCTCAGCCACTTCCTATTGTTCCACTACCCCCTCCCTCCTAGATTGTTAGCTTGAAAGAGTAGGGCCTTCTTACCCCTCGTACGCTGTCTGTTATTGTTGTACTGTGCCATGTATTGTCCTCCCTATTGTACAGCGCTGAGCAAACCCTTTGGCGCTATATAAACTCGATGTAATAATAATAATAATAATAATAATACCTGTAAAAGGGGCCAGCCTGAAGTTGTCTATAAAAAATTTATTTTCTGACCAAAGTTCCACTCTAAATAAACAGAGAAAGTTGAATGTTGGATGTAAAAAGAGACATACATCAGTTTGCTATTGAATGTTCTCTGCCCTAATAGGGGTCCTCAACTGGAACCTGCAAAGCGAAACCAGACGCTCCTTCTATCAAATATTCCAGGAACAAGAAGACAACCTCTAAGCACAACTGTTCACCTGTCACCAGGGCAAAAGGTTAGTTTTACAGCAGCAATTTTTTAATATTTAAAGAAGTGCGGAAACCAAAATAAAACTCATACGTACTCATCTAGATCAGTGTTTCTCAACCTTTTTTCAGTCAAGGTACCCTTTAAAATTATGGACAGTCCCGAGGCACCCTTTAAATTATGGACAGTCCCGAGGCACCCTTTAAAATTTATGGACAGTCCCGAGGCACCCTTTAAAATTATGGACAGTCCCGAGGCACCCTTTAAAATTAGGGACAGTCCCCAGGCACCCTTTAAAATTAGGGACAGTCCCGAGGCACCCTTTAAAATTACAGACAGTCCCGAGGCACCCTTTAAAATTAGGGACAGTCCCGAGGCACCCTTTAAAATTAGGGACAGTCCCGAGGCACCCTTTAAAATTAGGGACAGTCCCGGGGCACCCTTTAAAATTAGGGACAGTCCCGAGGCACCCTTTAAAATTATGGACAGTCCCGGGTTACCCTTTAAAATTAGGGACAGTTCCGAGGCACCCTTTAAAATTATGGACAGTCCCGAGAAACCCTTTGAAATTATGGACAGTCCCGAGGCACCCTTTAAAATTATGGACAGTCCTGAGGTACCCCATTCTAAAATGTGAAAAAAACGATTCTAATAGTTTTATACAACGTAGCAACATCCACACATGGAGGACACCCAGCATTAGAGGTGATTTATTCTTCCAAAGCAAATACACTTTTGCACACTGGTACTGACTAGTATTCTGATGTTTCTCTTCTCCCTCAATTTTTCTCCATCACTGAGCTAATGTGACCCCAGCACTGATGGAGAGGGGCGGGGGAGGGTCTAACTAGGATGCTGTGCAGGCAGCTGACATCCTCCTTACATACAGTTGTGACCAAAATTATTCAACCCCCAATGCTGTAAAGGGGTTTAGGGACTATAGTGTAACATTTGGAATTGTATTCAGAATCCAAATCCTACAAGGACGTTGTAACTACCCAAATGCAACTAAATGACATCAATTGTTTATGTAAATACAGTAGTAAATGGTTCTTATGTGGTTTCTTCATTGCCACAATTATTCAACCCCCTTAAAGGACTACCACTCTGAAGAACAGAGGTTCATACAGGTGCTTTCCATCAGGTATTGTGAAAACACCTGTGGATGTCACCGTGCAGCAATCATTAGCATAATAGAGCACAATAATTAGGCAGCTTTAAAATGACTGTGATACTCAGCTCCTTCTAGACATTTACTATGTGTGGTTACAAAACATGGTGAAGGCAATGAGAATGGTCCAGGAAGACAAGAGAAGAGGTGATTTCTCTTCACAGGAAGGGCAATGGCTATAAGAAGATTGCAAAGATGTTAAAACCTACCAAGAGTAGTGACACCTTAGGAATGCATCATTCGCAAATTCAAGGCAAAGGGCTCGTTGAATACGCCATACTGGTTCGTGGCAGAAAGAAGATGCTGGACTTCGGATGCTGTGCGCTACCTTGAAGCGTATAGAGTGGAGAGAAGTCTCCCCGTGTGACTGCTGAGGAACTGAGAAAAAGATTTGTCAGATGTGGGTACAGAAGTTTCAGCCCCAGGACAATAAGACGCACACTGCGTAATGAAGGCCTCCGTGCCAGAACTCCCAGGCGTACCCCCTTGTGTGTCTCCATAAGAATAAGAAGAGTCGACTGCAGTATGCCAAAAGCCATGTGGACAAACCACAAAAGTTGTGGGATAGTGTGTTCTGTGGACTGATGAAACAAAAATTAGAACTGTTTGGGCCCATGGATCAACGCTATGTTGTTTGGAGGAGGGAAGAACAAGGCCTATGATGAAAAGAACACCTTGCCTACTGTGAAGCATGTGGTGGAGGGTCAATCATGCTTTGGGGGTGTTTTGCTTCTGCAGGTACAGGGAAGCTTCAGGTGTGCAAGGTACCATGAATTCTCTTCAGTACCAGGAGATATTGGATGTATTAAACGTGATGCAGTCCGTCACACACCTGAGGCTTGGGAGACGTTGGACCTTTCATACAGGACTATGATGCCAAGCATATCCCCTCCAAAGTCCACTAGAGCATGGGTTGCAGAGGAAAGGCTGGAAACATTTTGGAGTGGCCATCGCTAGTCACCAGACTTAAATCGATTGAGAACCTCTGGTGGGGACTTAAAGAAAGGCAGTTGCAGTGCGCAAAGCCTAAGAATGTGACTGAACTGGAGGCCTTTGCCCATGTTGAAGAATGGGCGAGATACCCGTAGATCGCTGCAAGACACTTGTGTCAAGCTATGCTTCACCTTGTGTTTGTTTTAAAAGCTGTTATAACTGTAAGAAAGGATGCTGTACTAAGTACTAAGATTGAATGTCACTCCTTGGGGGTTGAATAAAACTGATAATGCTGTGAGCACAGAAAAAGACATTTGTGGTTATTTCATTATAACTGTTATGTTATATTTGTACTGGACCTACAAGTGCCCTCTTTAATGTAAATGTAAGCAAGATGAGCTGAATTGATCAAAAGCAATGTCAAATGGCCCAAAACCACTCAATCAATTTCAGTGGGGGTTGAATCAATTTGGTTCACAACTGTTGTTACATAGTTAGTCCCGGCTGTAAAAAGAGACAATAGTCCATCCAGTTCAACCATAGAAAAAAAAAATTATAATCTTACACCCACAGCTGATCCAGAGGAAGGCCAAAAAAAACCCAGCAAAGCACTATCCAATTATTTTGCTCCTGCTGGGAAAAATTCCTTCCTGATCCCCGAGAGGCAATCGGTATATTCCCTGGATCAACGTCACCTATAAATGTTATATCCAGTTTATATTCTGTGTATCCAAGAAAGACATCCAGGATCTTTCCTACAGCAATCCACTGAGCTGGCACAACCAACTCTGGAGGGAGTCTATTCCACATTCTCACAGCTCTTACTGTGAGAAGAAACCTTTCTGTGTTTGAAGATTACATTTCTTTCCCTCCAGATTGTAAATGGAGTCCCCCTTGTCCTCTGTGATGACCTCAGGGTGAATAACTACACCGAGTTCATTATATGAATATCCAACTGATGTATTTATACATGGAGATCATATCCCCTTATGTATTATAATGGAGATCATATCCCCCCTTATGTATTTATTACATGGAGATCATATCCCCCTTATGTATTATACATGGAGATCATTATCCCCCTTATGTATTATACATGGAGTCATATCCCCCCTTATGTATTATCATGGAGATCATATCCCCCCTTTATGTATTATACATGGAGATCATATCCCCCCTTATGTATTATACATGGAGATCATATCCCCCCCTTATGTATTATACATGGAGATCATATATCCCCCTTATGTATTATACATGGAGATCATATTCCCCCTTATGTATTATACATGGAGATCATATCCCCCTTATATATTTTACATGGTGATCATATCCCCCCTTATGTATTATACATGGAGATCATATCCCCCCCTTATATTATTATACATGGTGATCATATCCCCCTTTTTGTATTATACATGGAGATCATATCCCCCCTGTATGTATTATACATGGGTGATCATATCCCCCCCCTTATATATTATACATGGTGTTGATCATATCCCCCCTTATGGATTATACATGGAGATCATATCCCCCCTTATGTATTATACATGGAGATCATATCCCCCCTTATGTATTTTACATGGAGATCATATCCCCCTTATGTGTATTATACATGGAGATCATATCCCCCTTATGTATTATACATGGAGATCATATCCCCCCCTTATGTATTTATTACATGGAGATCATAGTCCCCCCTTATGTATATTATACATGGAGAGATCATATCTACCTTATGTATTTTATACATGGAGATCATATCCCCCTTATGTATTATACATGGAGATCATATCCCCCCTTATGTATTATACATGGAGATCATATCCCCCCTTATGTATTATACATGGAGATCATATCCCCCCTTATGTATTATACATGGAGATCATATCCCCCCTTATATATTATACATGGAGATCATATCCCCCCTTATGTATTTATACATGGTGATCATATCCCCCCCTTATGTATTATACATGGAGATCATATCCCCCTTATGTTATTATACATGGAGATACATATCCCCCTTATGTATTATACATGGAGATCATATCCCCCCTTATGTATTTTACATGGAGATCATATCCCCCTTATGTATTATACATGGAGATCATATCCCCCTTATGTATTATACATGGAGATCATATCCCCCCTTATGTATTTATACATGGAGATCATATCCCCCCCTTATGTATTATACATGGAGATCATATCCCCCTTATGTATTATACATGGAGATCATATCCCCCCTTATGTATTTATACATGGAGATCATATCCCCCTTATGTATTATACATGGAGATATATCCCCCCTTATGTATTATACATGGAGATCATATCCCCCCCTTATGTATTATACATGGAGATCATATCCTCCCCTCTATATGTATTATACATGGAGATCATATCCCCCCCTTATGTATTATAATGGAGATCATATCCCCCCTTAATCTCCTCTTCTCAGTAGAGAATACATTCAGTTCCTCTAATTTTTCCTCATAGCTGATCTCCTCCATGCCTCGTATCAGTTTGGTTTCCCTTCTCTGTACTTTCTCTCCAGTTCCCCAATGTTCTTTTTGTGAATTGGTGCCCAAAACTGAACTGCATATTCCAGATGAGGTCTTATTAATGATTTGTACGGGGGGGGGGGGGTGATATCTCTCTCTCTGGAGTCTATACATCTTTTAATACAAGAGAGGATTTTGCTCGCTTTAGAACCGCAGCTTGGCATTGCTGCCATTATTAAGCTTGTGATCTACCAGAACCCCAGATCCTTCTCCACCATTGACCCCCCCCCCCCCCAGTTTGTACCCCCCTAGTATGTATGATGCATACATATTCTTAACGCCCAAGTGCAGAACCTTTCATTTATCAACATTAAACCTCATTGGCCACATAGTTGCCCCAATTACACAGAGCATTGAGGTCGGCTTGTAAATTGGAGGACATCCTGTAAGGACGTTATTCCCGGCACAGCTTGGTGTCATCTGCAAAGACTGAAATGGGATTTATAGTCCCAGACACTATATCGTTTATAAATATATTAAAAAGTAAGGTCCCAAAACTGAACCCTGGTGTACCCCACTGATGACCCCAGACCATTCAAAGTATGAATCATTAACCACTACTCTGTGAATACGATCTTTTAGCCAGTTTTCTATCCATTTACATACGGATTTTTCCAGCCTGTAGACTTTACCTTAAACATTAGCCGTGTGTGGGGGAACTTTTCACTGTTTCTTTATGATTAGTTGTCACTTTTTTCAAGCGCTGCACTTTTATGTATTTTTGAGGGATTGCCTAGTATCAGGGTTTTTGTGTTCAGCTGCTATATGTTTCACAACTCATTTTCTTGATTATTGATTATTTATTGTGGTTTCTATTAGCGCAGGTTATATATATATAAAACCTGCGCTAATAAAATTATATATATATATATATATATATATATATATATATATATATATAGAGGGGCGGACTGACAACTCATGGGGCCCCCAGGCAATAGGGGATCATGGGGCCCG